ACCCATGTATTTTTTTTTCTTTTTTTGAGGGGCCTGGCTCATGTTCAAGGCTAAGACTACGCTGGAATTTTCTGTGTAGAACTTCTGATTTTCCTGTTCCACATCCCCAGTTATAGGATCACAAGCATCTGACACCACAACTAGTTTGTTGCTATACAAGAACCCAAGGCTTCTTGCATGTCAGCCAAGCACTCCACCAACTAACCTACATTTGCAGTGATGCTCTTAAACTTTTGATCCTTCTGCTCCTATCTTTCAAGTGCTAGAATTATAGGGGTGCACTGCCATGTCCAGGAAAATGTACTTCCTATCTTTTTTAGCTTTGGTGTGTTTGAGACAGTTTGGTTATGTAGCCCTGATTGGCCTGGCACTCACTAAGTAGCCCAGGCTGGCCTCAAACTTTTGATAATCTTCCTGCCTCAGCTTTCTGAATATTGAAAATATAGGTGTGCATCACCATGCCTGCATAGTAAATATTTCACTTTAAAAAGTTTTCATCTATGGTATGGTAGTAGCTCATTTTTGTAATCCCATCACATTGAAGGTAGAGGCAGGAAGAGCAGAAGTTCATAGTCCACTTAGGCTACATTAGACCCTGTCTAAATAACTATTCTTAGTTGATCGTTGGTGGCACACACCTTTAAATACCACACTCAGGAGGCAGACACAGGTGAACTTCTATTACTTTGAGGCCAGCTTGGGCTGCACAGTGAGTCCAGGACAGCCAGGGCTATATAAAGAAACTCTGTCTTGAAAAACTGACACAAACCAACCAATCAAAAAAAAAAAAAATCAACTAAAACCACCTCCCCAAAACAAAGAAACAAAACCACAAAAATTTCTATTCTTTCAAAGTGTACGTGGGACCACTCTTTTTTTCTTTATAAAATTTCTTAGAGTCATTAACAAAACAAAACAAAACAAAACAAAACAAAACAAAACAAAACAAAACACATAGCCAATTTGTCTTCCAGAAACATTGTAGGGATTCACTCTCCCATTCAAATGGTATTATCTCACTAGCTTTTAAATCTGTTCTTTCTTTCCACATATTTCTTTCTACACTATATTCTGATGAACCTGTCTATCTCTAACTCTCATCATGCCCTCAAGCGTCAGCAAGTATTTTCAGCTGCCAGCTGGACATCGACACCTGCATGTCTTCTAAATAACTTTGATTTATTTTAACTGAACTAATTTTCTCTCAATGTACTCCTCTTTCTGTAATTCCAATGTTGATTGATGGTGCCTGGTCAGAAAACCAAGGGTCATTTCAATTCCCTCCCTCTCCTTCCTTTTCAAATATTAATAATAGTTAATATTTATTAACAACTACTTTGTGAAATACTATATATAATTTTTTTTTGTTTTTGGAGACAGGGTTTCTCAGTGTAGCCCTGGCTGTCCTAGAATTAGCTCTGTAGACCAGGTTGGCCTTGAACTCACAGAGACCAGCCTGTCTCTGTTTCCCTGAGTTATGGGATTAATGTTGTGTATCATCATGCCTGGCTTAGTTTTATAGGCAAGGAAAACTTTTTTACAATTTACTCAGGAAAACACAGATAGGAAGCAGGGCTTTAAATCTACGAAGTCTTAATTCATGGCTCACATATTTAAGTCCTATACTGGCTTATCAACATATCTAATACAAATCCTATTTCATTCTCATAACTTTTTCCTTGGCTTTTATTTATGTGTATGTGTATATGCCTGCTTGTCTGTTGTGTACCACTCAGGAGTAGGTGCTCTCAGAGACCCAAAGAAGACCTCAGAACTCCTAGAGCTGGAGTTACCCAAGGTTGTGAGATACCCATCGTGGACAGTGGGAACTGAACTCAAGTCCTCTGCAAGAGCAGTAATTGCTCTTAACCATTGCACCACCTCTCTAGCTCTCACCACTCTCTCTCTCTCTCTGTCTCTCTTTTTTTTTATTGTTGTTGTTGTTTTGAGACAGGGTTTCTCTATATCCTTGGCTGCCCTGGGCTCACTTTGTAGACCAGGCTGGCCTTGAACTCACAGTGATTTGCCTGCCTCTGACACCCTGAGTCCTGGGACCATAGGCATGTACCACCACACCTGGCCCTGTCACCGCTGTCTGTGGTTGCTTCATTCATAATTAGTCACATTCAACTTAAATACATTTTCTCATGTTACCTGCAAAATAGTCTCTCTAAAAGAAATACAATCATGCCCTTCTAATTTTTTTTTTTTTTGCCTTAAGATCCTTCAGTGTCTCCCTATCACCTATCATAAAGCCAGAGACACTCTGTTTAATATACAGGGCTGGCTCTCTTCTGCTTAGCCCCAGATATCCTTTAAACATTTCCATTATACAGTCTGAATTGGTGATAATTTCCTAAAAATATTGTAGAGATTCTTCCTGCAATGGCTTTAAATATGTTATTTCCTGTGCCAGAAACTGCCTTTCCCTATTTCCACAACTATTTCTCCTTTATGCCTTTGAAACATTTTTTTAAAATTAAATTTATGAATGTTTTGCCTGCAAGTATTTATGTGTACCTGGTGCATAAGGAGGGGAGAAGAGAGCAGTGAATCTCCTGGAATTGGAGTTAGGGATGCTTATGAGCCACTATATGGGTGCTGGGAATCAAACCCAGGTCCTCTGCAAGAAGAATAAGTACTCTTAACTGCTGAGTTATCTCTACAGCCCATATCCTTCATGTCTTTTAATGTGTTAAAAGCTGATGTGTTTTCCTCTAGGAAGTCTTCCCCAATTTTAAAAAATATATATCCTTTTTTGCTTTGTTTTGTTTTTTTTCAAGGCAGGGTTTCTCTGTGTAGCCTTTGCTGTTCCAGATTCAATTTGTAGACCAGATTGGCCTTGAACTCACAGTGATCTGCCTGGTTCTGCCTTTCTGAGTGCTGCGACTAAAGGCACGCACCATCATGCCTGGCTGCCAAATATATAACTTTTTGTTTTGTTTTGTTGAAAAAAGATTCCACTATAGCCTGGGCTGGTCTCCAATGTCCTGCATAGCAGAGGGTGGCCTTGAACTTCTGAAACCCCTGTGTCCACCTCCCAATTTCTGGGATCATATGCACGGACTACCATGCCCAGCTCAGTTACCTAGCTTCTGTGTGCTACTTTGAACACTTGTTTATATTTGTCACATTTTACAAAATGAACTTATGGCTGGGCAGTGATGGTGCACACCTTTAATACCAGCACTTGGTAGGAAGAGGTTGCTAGATCTCTGAGTTTGAGTACAACCTGGTCCACAGAGTGAGTTTCAGGACAGCCAGGGCTACACAGAGAAACTCTGACTGAAAAAAAAAAATAAAGAGTTAACTCATCAACAGCAGGAGGAACTCTCATAACTCTATGTCTTTTAGAATTTAGTACAGTGCTTGGCACAGAACTAGTTTGTAAATACCAGTCATACTAAATTCAATAATTAATTGAATTGATCAATTGTAAGTCCTTATACATTGTTGAAATAATTCAGTCATCAGTGATATGAGTTTTTGTGCTTGCTTGTTTGTTTTGAGAGGAGGTTAGGTAATGGGAGAAGGAAGGATGACATAAAATTACCACCTGTCTACCTCTTAATATGGAGCATGGAGGGCTGGAGAGATGGCTCAGTGGTTCAGAACAATGGCTATCTTGCAGAGGACCCAACTTTGAGTCCCTGTACCCATATGGTAGGTCCCAACCATCTGTAACTCCAGTTTCAGGGGATCTGACATCTTTTTCTGAACTCCTTGGGCACTGTTTACACATGATGCATGAACACATTTGCAGGCAAAATACGCAGATACATGAAAAATAAAAGTAGTCATTTAAAAGTTAAAATAGTTCTTCAAAATTATGTGATATGTATAAATCAGTCTTTAAAATGTGTTGTTAAGGACTGGGGATACAGTTGATTTCATAGACCCTGGAATTGATCCCCAGCACAGTACAAAACTGTACTGTGGGTGTAGTGGAGTAAGCCTGTAATCCCAGGATTTTGGGAGATACAGGCAGATGGGTCAGAAGTTCAAGGTTGTTCTCAGCTGTAAAGCAAGTTTGAAAGCAGCCTGGAATACACAAGACAATGTCTCAAAACGACAAAACAACTAGAAAAAAAATTTCTAGTTGGACTTGGTGACACAGACTAGTAACACCAGAAGTCAAGAGGGATCGGCAGGAACGTTGCCTTAAGTTTGAGGTTAGCCTGGCAAGTTACTGGCCAGCCTGGATAAAATGTAAGACTCTGTCTCAGTAAGTTCATATGTGTAAATACATATGCATATGTTTTAAAAAGATATTGTCATGTAGACACATATCTTCATCATTACAAGCAAGCTCAAAGCATAGCCAAGTGTGGGGTTCTGCAGAATATACAGAGAAGTTATGAAATAAACGTCCTGAAATTTTTAAAGAAATGAGTACACCTGGAATTAGTTATGTAGCAAGGTGTGGAGAATGAAGATACACCCGCTATTCCTGAAAAGCGAAAATAGGAAATCATTATTGTTTTCACGATTCGTGTTTGCTGCTTCCCTGGCACTACAACGTATTGCTTACTGAATACTCAAGTTGTTTGTAGCTTGAACTGAAACTTTCAGTGGCACAAGCAATGGGGCTGTATTCCACGCTTTTGGTACTATTGTTGGAACCCTATCTTCCAGAAAATTTCGTGGAAAATCCTGACTTATTCAGCACCTAGGGGTTCGGCATGTCACCTTAGGATAATAGCTCTCGGGGCAGTGCCCATGATTGATGCACGGGATGAGACAATTTCTTGGGTTGAGAAACACAGATTGGCGAAGCCAGTGTGTGGCGCTTCTCAAAGTATTGAACAGTGAGTATTGTAGATGCAGGTTCCAAGGCCAATACCAGTACCACCTGAAAGTCTGAATGACGATTTTTACCCTACAGTACAAGCCCTAGTCAGCATGGCGGCTACTCAGGGTGAAGCGCCGGGGACTCGGGCTGTGTGTCAGTGCGCGCATGCGTGCGCGCGTGCGCGTCGCCGCCGTCTGTGGGTTGGCTGGTTATTTTGCAAGCGGGAGGGGCCGTGCGCGCTCTTGCCTTAGGCCTCTGTCCCCCACCCCCTTCGCCGGTACCGGTCTCTTCTTCGGAAAGATGTCGGACACAGCAGTGGCTGACACTCGGCGCCTTAACTCGAAGCCTCAGGACCTGACCGACGCTTATGGGCCACCAAGTAACTTCCTGGAGATAGACATCTTTAATCCACAGACGGTGGGCGTGGGCCGCGCGCGCTTCACTACCTATGAGGTTCGCATGCGGGTGAGTCACGGGGTGAGGGAGACAGCTCAGGGAGGACGAAGTGGGAGGAGAGTGGGCTTGGGGACGACTAACGGCGGGGAAGCTTGGAGGGGTCATGTGAGGGGTAGGGCTTGAAAGGTTTAGAGACGGCTTCAGACTCAGTTGTGGCCTGAGGGTGCAGAAAACTCCAGAGGGGACTTAGGGCGGGGATGAAGGAAAACAAGTGCTCACGAGGAAGAAGTGAAGCATGGCTGGACAGGGTGTGGAAGATGGACAAAGATTAGTGAGGAATTCAAATAGATTGGACTCATGATTGACAGGAAGACGAAAGGGGAGGGTGGAAAAAGGCTCAGGATGGAAAGCCAAGGTGATGTGTCGCTGGGTCCCATAACTAAACTAGGTTATGGGAGGTCGTTCTAAAGGTGGGGGGTGAAAGAGCTCAGCTTCTTCCCAATGAGATCGCTCTGGGATGATGGAGTTAAGCAAAGCCTTTAGTTAAAGGAAAGACTACAGGAAAGGGAGACAGTAGGCTTATGGGAACAGAAGTACAAAAACAATTTTGACACTGAATGCTTTGCTGAGTTGCATAAGATTTACGTCTCAGAGAGATGTTTTATGCTTAAGTTTCTTAGGTTCCACAATGTCTCACATAAAACTGGCCCTGCCCCGGGATTGGTGGATTGTCAGTTGCTGCTCTCATCCTCTGCTGATCCTTTAGATCTGAAGGATCCAGAATGTTTACTTCAGTTTTTATTGGCTCTCACTTAGGTGTGTTGAAAAAGGCCATTTGCCCTTTTAGGTGTTTTGAAAAAGGTCATTTGCTTTTTCTGTTCCTGGTCTGTAGTTACTTTAATACATGACATTTCACAATGGCTCCAAGAATGGCGTTTCCAGTTTGCATCTCAGGGGACTTTATTCTCTTAGTCGATAGTGCTTAGTCCATACATAGTACAAGGTTAGACTGTGCAGATAGAGTACATGGTTCACTTTTTTTTTTCCCAGTTGAAATGGTACAGGTTAAAAAAAATTAAGAATCGTTTTTTTTAGTTTTCCTTGTGAGATTCAGGATACTCTTTGTGAACAGCATCCCTTTTGAATAGCACTGAAGATCTAACAGTCATATGGTGCTCTCATTTTTTTTGATGAATTGAATAAGAATGTTTGTTCTGCTTGTGCTTGACAATCTCATGGAGAAATGGCACGCTCTAACCCGGGTGGGGGTGAATAAATTGATAGCAGCATGAGGCACACTTGTTTTATGGAGACTAGACTCTTTGAAATCTCTTTGGAGAAGGATAGAATTTACATTTGTCAAACTGTGATAAAAGAGAAGTGTTAATGGAGGAGGGCTTAATAACTCAAGGGAACCTAAGTTTAACTTGTTCAGTGTAAAGACTGCTTTTAGGATCCTAGACATTTTGTCTAGGTGCATAAGAGCCTTAGGGATTAGTCAGGAAATAGCTCTTTCCTTTCAGTAGTCTGATGACAACAGAGACCATCCATCTAGTCCCTACAATGGGCCAGGCACCAAAACTAGTTTTAAATTTCTTTTATTTGTTTGTTTTTTAAAATTTGTTGTGTTTATTGAGTCAGGGTTTCTCTGTGTAGTCGTGGCTGTCCTGGACTCACTTTGTAGATCAGGCTGATCTCCAAGTCAGAGATCCACCTGCCTATGCCTCTAAATTGCTAGGATTAAGGCCGTATACCACTATGCCCAGGATAGGTTTTAGTTTTTGTATACCTTAAAAAAAAAAAAGGAATCAGGAAAGAATACAGTTTAAGTCATTTCCCCAGATACAGATGTAATGGTATCAGATGGGGCTGGGACTTGAAACCAAGTCTCTGACTCCAAAGTCCATGTTCTTTCTATTGCTCTGTTAAGGCTTAGTTGCAAAACTTAGTGTGCAAAATATACACTGAGCCTTTTGGTTGTTCTTTTGCTTTTTTCAAGACAGGGTTTCTCTATGTAGTCTTGGCTGTCTTAGACTTGCTTTGTAGACGAGGCTGGCCTCAAACTCAAAGAGATCCTCCTGCCTCTGTCTCTGCTGGAATTACAGGTTTGAGCTATCTCTGCCTGGGTTACACTGAGTTTTTTCATCAGTCCCTTCCACAGTTCTACATATACAATGTTGGTAAGAGTTGATGATGGTTCATTCTGGGTTTGGGTTGATCTGATGCTTTTACTGTTTTATTGAACTATAGTTTTTAGACAAATAATTATTTGTATTTTTTTTTCTGGTTCTGGGGATTTAATTCAGACCTCATGCATGTTGTGCATACACTCTTCCATTGATCTATACCTTCAGCTCTGTGTAATAAATATTGATGAAGCTATTCTCTTTAATTTTATTCAGGAATGGATCCTGCCTGCCAGAGGAGTATGGAGAGGTGCTATGGTGGCTTCACATTATACATTTGGATAGTTCAATGTGGACTTGAGTTTTGTGGGGTTTTTTTTCTCTCCTTTCACTTTATTTTGTGTTGAGATGAGACCAAAGGCCTGCAATATCCTGCATTATACAATTCTGGCTTCTTCATATAATTTGTAGTTTGTAGTTCAGGGTCTGTCCTTTTATTATGTAGTAGCTTTTCTCTTAGATGGCTAGGTGCTGAGATGGAGGGAAATAATTTTGCCCTCTTTTGAGGGTAAGGAAAGCATAGTTTGTTTATTAGTTTTCAAACAGGGTTTCTCTGTGTAGCCTTGGCTTTCCTGGACTTACTTTGTAGATCAGTCTGAACTTGAATTAACAGGGATCCGTCTGCCTTTGCCTCCTTGTGTTCCGGGGCTAAAGGTGTGCACTACTATGCCCAGTTCGTTTTCACTTTTTAAAAGTCAAACAGAGCCCATAAAATGATAGTAGGTAGTCTGGCAGTGCTGGAGGAATCTGCTCAGCATTTTCTTTGTTTGGTCCTGTGTTGGCTTCTGTGAAAGTCCACTAATTATGTTTCTACATTTTGGGGAACACAGTATCTGTAGTGAACACAAGTGTAAATCTAGAATCACATGATCCTAAATGTCTTTTTTTTTTGTCTTAGGATATTTTGATAATTTTTCTATAATGGATTAATTTTAAACACTTAACACATGCACATAGTACACATTTCAGGCAGTCTACTGTTTAAAACGGTCTGCAAATGTCACTACCAGAGGCTTTTCTTTCAAGAAACAAATTTCTAGTTTCTTTTTTAAATTATAAACTTAAAGATTAAACACTCTTATGTACATGAGTGTTTTTCTCAAACATAAAACTTTGCATCATGTGTATCTTGGAACTGGAGTTGCAGACAGTGGTTCTGGAAATTCAGCCTGGGTCCTTTGTAAGAACAAATGCTCTTTCAAACACTGAGCCATCTTTCCAGCACCTTTAATTTTTTTTAATATTGATTTGTATTTATTTTGTGTTCAGGGGAAGGGTTGCAGCACATGTCAGAGGATAACTTGCAAGACTTGGTCTCTCCTACCATATGGCTTCTAGGGATGAAACTCAGGTTGTCAGATTTGGATGCAGGCACCTTTTCCTGCCCAGTCATCTAACCGACCTCCAGTTTCTTATTTTTTTTTTTCTCTAAATTTCATGTATCTTAGGTTGGTGTAAAACTCACTGTAGCTGAGGTTGACTTTGAATTACTGATCCTCTTAGTTGCGCTTTTCAACTCTTGGCATTACAGGTCTTTGTCAATGTTTGGTTACTTTGTTTATTCCTTTTTAAAAATCTTTTTGTTGTTTGAGGATTTCATACAGTGCATTTTGACCATATTCACTCCTATTTTCCCTCCTAATTCCTTCCTGATCAATCTCTCTACCTTGCTATCTCTCCAACTTTGAGTCTTCTTTGAAAACAACACAAAATAAAATTATCCAGTTGAATTTGTGTTGCCCATATACTTTTGGGCATGGGACCATCTGTTGGAGCATTGTGGACCTATGGAAGGGGGGCATGCCCTAAAGAAAAGATTCTCTTTTTTTTTCCATTTTGTGTATTCTTTTAAAGAATTATTTAGATGACAAAATGTTATTTATATCAGACTTCTATTTAAACCTATTGATATTTCTTAGACCTTGAAGATATTGGGTAGGGTTGGAGCTCATGTTAGTTGACCTTTTATTTGCCTGGAGGTGCTTTCAAGACGTGAGGTCTATAAAAGTTGATATAGTAAGGACCATGTGGGCTTTACCAGAACTCCAAGATACTCCTTTCTTGCCAAAAAGCAGTTACGTAGAGAAGAGGGTTTTAATTTTTAAAAAAATTGTTTTATTATTACTGACCCATTGCTCTGAATTGGCCAACAAGAAATATTGTCTAGATTAATATATGTATTGGACCATTTTCATTTAGAATTTGTAGATAGGAATAAAGATTTGGGCTTTTTATTTGTTACAAGTTCCTCTTACCACTAGAGCCTGAGGAGTCTTCTCAATGATTAAGATGTAGGAATGATTATGCTTCAGAAAGATACCATATATAATGGATATTCATTCTTAGTTTTTAGGTAAAGTGGTAACTCGATATATAAGGTTTCTATTGCGTAATTGCATAGTGATAACCTAAATTTTGGGAGAAGTAAAAGTTGCCATGGTTGTTGATTATTATTTTAAAAGATAGTGTCTCACTATATTGTTCTAGCTGGTATGGAACTCTGTGTAGTGGCTTTGCCTTAAACTCAGAGATCTGTCTGCCTCTGCCTCCCATGTGCTGGGACTAAATAATAAAGTCAGATTATAATTTATGATCATAATTTAGTTGTATAGACAACAAACAGGATGCATAAAACATGAAGAAAATATGATATGACACTTCATAAAATGTGAAGGTGGAAGGATCAGAAGTTCAAGGTCATCTGCTGCTGCATAACAAAACCCTTAGAAATGGGGATGTGGGTTTATTTTAGTTGGCAAACATTTGCCTAGCATGTATAACCCTGGGTTTGAATCCCAGCACCTCATGAATTGGGTGTGGTGGTACGCTACTGTAATTTCATAAAGAGGCAGGAAGACAAAAATTCAAGGTTATCCTTAGCCACATAGGGAGTTTGAAGCCAACTTAGTATAGAGAAAAGGCCTCAAGAAAAGTGTAAATGTCAGAAGGGATCAGAGGGGAGGTAGTATGTACCCAGATGGAATTACCAGGAAAGATTTTCTGAATGAAGTTAGAATGGAGTTAGGACTTACAGAATAGAAAAGGTTGGAATAGGAAGTCAGAGGTAAACATGTCTTGGAGGTCTAGAGAATGATCTGAAATAGCCATACTTTTGATTTTAGATGAGTAAGCTTCAGTATATGTCAAGTCAAAGTAACAGAATAAATAGCAAGGGATAGACAGACAGCAAAACATTATCAAGTCAGGTACTCAACATACTCAGCAGAAATTGACTTGGGAAGTGCCTTTGAGGCAGCCGGTTGGAGGTCCCCATACAGAGAATCACAGCTAGGAAAATGTCCCTTCAGATGAGGCTTCCAAGTTAAAGAACAAATAGCAACAGAAATGTAACATCATCAAGTCATGCATCGATAATGTCCAGAAGAAACCAACCAGGGAAGTTAGGCAGTCAGCTGAAGTTCCTGATGGAGCTTTCTTTACATTTTGAGGCTCCCATGCTGAACCTTAGTCCCCTTCCCCCCACTGCAGGCGTTATTATATCATAGGATAAACATCTGTTAGAAATTATTTACCTTCCTGTTCTCAAAGACTGTTTTTACTGTTGGGGTATTTTTTTTCCTTACATATCACAGAGATAGGAAGGGGAAGCACATCCCCAGGGAGGGAGCCTTGGAGGACATGGAGACAAACATGGGTGGGTATGAAATGGGTTGGGAAACCCATCTGAGCTCAAATAACACATGACTAACCAGTATAATGCATATTATAACATGACTGTGAGTCTTCTCTATAAGATAAATTTTAAGTACCAAAGGATTTTGTTTGTGTGTTTGTAGGGTGGAGCCAAGAGCATTGAACATGCTAGACAAGTGCTCTACCACTGAGTCCCAGCAAGGGACTTCTGATCAACAATTGTGATATGATTGGATATGGTAAGGGTTAATATTCACCTGATAGTGTTTTGGGTGAGTTTTAGGTATATGGTCTATAGGAACAATTTTTATTTTCTGTGATGCTAGGAGTCAAACACAGGTGCTCATACAGAATAGGTAAGTACTCTACCACTGGGATATATTTTCAGTCCCATAGGAGCTATTTCTTTATTGAGATTTTACCAGTGGTTCTGACATGTGATCCGCACAGGCGGAACAGAACTTATTGGCTGTTTTCAGTTTGGTTGTTTTTTACTTTTGAGATAGGGTTTCGCCATTTAGGCTCAGCTGATCTGGAATTCTCTGTGTGGCCTAGGTTGACCTCAAACTGACTGGCCATCCTTCTGACTCAGCCTTCCAAGTGTTAAAAGTACATGCCACTATACCTGGATCCTCTTCATTCATTCTTCCTTCCTTGTAGACAAACCTGCCTATCTTCAAGCTGAAAGAATCCTGTGTACGGAGACGCTACAGTGACTTTGAGTGGCTGAAAAATGAGCTGGAGCGAGATAGTAAGGTACAGCTCATACTCTAATCATATCATTGTAGGAGGAGATCTGTATAGACTCAGCGGGTATAATATCACACCCTGTAAAGTCTTGAAGTGGGTAGGAAGGGTGTATACCTTTTTATGGACCCACTTCCAATATATTGGTTGTTGGGGATACCCTTTGAAAGTTGAAATAGCTAAGTTTAGGACAGTATTGTTTTTTAAATTGTGTGTGTGTGTGTGTGTGTGTGTGTTTTATATGGTGTAAGGGCATATGCAGGCCAAAGGAGTAGGTTGTGTGTCCTGCTGTATCTCCATGCCTCACACCTTTTAGACAAAATTTCTCACTGAATTTGGAAGTAGGCCAGCAATCTCCAGTGATTTTCTTTTCACCATGAGCTGAACTCTTTTGTTTGGGTCCTGGAATCCATATTCAGGTTTTCTTTCTTTCTTTCTTTCTTTCTTTCTTTCTTTCTTTCTTTCTCTCTCTCTCTCTCTCTCTCTCTCTCTCTCTCTCCCTCCCTCCCTCCCTCCCTCCTCCTCTTCTCCTTCCTTCCTTCCTTCCTTTCTTCCTTCCTTCCTTTCTTCCTTCCTTTCTCTCTCTCTCTTTCTTCTTCCCTCCCTCCCTCTCTCCCTTCCTTCCTCCCCCCCTTCTTTCCTTCCTTTTCTTCTTTTTTTCTTTATAGGGTTTCTCTGTGTAGCCTTGTCTGTCCTGGCCTCACTTTGTAAATGAGGATGGCCTTGAACTCATATCAATCTACCTGCTTTTGCCTCCCCAAGTGCTGGGATCACTGGCATGCACCACCACACCTGGCTTTTATTCAAGTTCTTGTGTTTGTGCAGCCAGTGCTCTTACCTGATGAGCCATCTTTTCAGCCCCATGAATAGTATTTTCAACTATTATGTTGTTTTATTGTTTGTAAAGTTAGTAAACTCCTATAAGTGCAAAAATGTGTCAAGAAAAGCTTAGCTAAGTGCTTGGATGGTACAGACTAGTTAAGGGAAGTGAAGAATGATTGAAGTTTATTTCCTTTCTTTTGAGATGATAAATCTCTCCTTCCACAGAAATTAAGTTGGATTTATATGAGGTGTCCTTACTGTTCTAAGATCGTAGCTGGATTTGGGGCATGGTGGACCCCAGGCCTAAAAGAACTGAGGTATATAGTTTACTTGACAGGTGAAAGCAGGAAGATCAGAAGTTCAAGGTCATCCTTGGCTACATAGATAGTTTAAGGCCACCCTGTAGCCATGGAGAGGGAGGGAAAGAAGAAGGGAAGGAGGGAGAGTGAGAACATGTTTTACCATCTCATTTGCTTTCTTCTTTCTTGCCCTCTCCAACTGGGCTGATATTTGACTGCAGATTGTAGTACCACCACTGCCTGGGAAGGCCTTGAAGCGGCAGCTCCCTTTCCGAGGAGATGAAGGGATCTTTGAGGAATCTTTCATTGAAGAAAGGCGGCAAGGCCTTGAACAATTTATTAACAAGTAAGCCAAATTCTTGGCTGCTCTGCTTATTGCTTTTGCTATTACAAAATCTTTACCTGCCTTTCCTCCCCATTTTTCTCTGTCCTCCCTTTACTCCTTTGTTCTATACTTTACTCTTTCTCTTTTTGTGGGATTTGATTCTAGGGCCTTGCATATGCTTAGGCAAGCACTCTACCTCTAAGGTATTATACTCCCAGCCTATCATGATTTTTCTAATATTTTTTTGTCTACTTTGTCCTTTTGTAATAGGTAATATGATGTAGTGGACAAACTAGATAGTAAAACTCCATTCCTGTGAATAAATTCTGATCCTATATGCCAAGGCCTGAGAACATAATGCATGTTAACCCTTTTAACTAGGGATTTTCCTACTTTGTTCCTTCTTTAATATTACAGTTTAGGTCACACCCCACTGTTGTCCTCCAGAGGCTCAAACCTAAGGGCTAGCTATGTCCTTTCTCCCCTCTTCACATTACTGTTCCCCTGCAAATTCTCTTTGATCCCAGATTCTACTGATAACCATTTTGGTCTCTTTATAGAATCGCTGGGCACCCACTGGCTCAGAATGAACGCTGTCTACACATGTTCCTGCAGGAGGAGGCAATTGATAGGAACTACGTCCCTGGGAAGGTGCGCCAATAGGAGTCCCTCTCACCACTTGCCTTCTACTTTTCCTGCTGAAATGACATTGGTTTTTACACTAAGTCTCTCTCTCTCTCTTTGATCTGAAGTTGGCTGCCCATCCCCTGGCCTGATAGACTGTCTTGCATTGTGCCCCTTGGTACCAGACTATACTGTGTGGGCACTCTGCTAGTATCTCTTCTCTGAAGAGAGGTGGGAAACCACAGGCAGATGCTCTTTGCTTGGGGTTGGGGTGGGAGAGGGATTGGCCTGGAAGGCAATTTCTTGGGCATTTTACCCATGCCAGAAGGCTAATCTTGGGGGGAGGGGGGCTTGTGCTATGAGGCACTGGGATATATTACTGATGCTGCAAGTCTAGGGGCTTTTTCTTATTCTTAGGTTTAACCAGGAACACTGAATAGGGGAGAATCCCTACTTTTCCTACCTGCATGAAAATTTGGTGGAGACCTAAAACTTCTTATTTTTTTCTAGGCCTGCTCCCAGTTTTCTCAGCATTTTTTTTTTTCTCTTCCTTATTGCTTTTCATGGCAGTAATCCTCCTAGAATTTAATCAGTCTGATATGTGGAGCAGAGTGTATGGGTTTTCTGGGCCAATCATGGTTACTGCAAAGTCAAGAAAGCCATAGGGTAGTATAGTAGGGTGCTCCTATTGCCTAGCCCCTCTCCCTTTTTTGGCTCCCTGTTCTGGCTGTTTGTATTTTGCTCACTCGCTAATGAGTCTGTATGGGCCAGGAGTTCTCCCCCTCTTCAAGCCCTTGTTACTTTATGGGTTAGCTTTATGGGTTTTGAGGGATTAGAGCAACTTATCACTGCCAGGTGACTTCCTGAATGGTGGGAGGGGGGTCATGTTTTAGGTTCCTCTTGGTGGTAAGGAAGAGCAACATCATTTTCCTCCTTCCATTCCTCCTTTTCCCATTTCATTTACTGCTGCCCCAAGGGCAGAAACACATACATACCACAGTTTCTGATTTCTCCTAAGCACTTTGAGCTGTTGAATGGGGCTCAGGGGTGAGAGTAGTCTGCTGCCTTCCCCAGCATGGTCACAGGGTTATTGAACTGCCTGCACTTGTTTCCAATGGAACTTCAGTGTTGTCCCCAGAAATTGAAATGGGGCTAGCAGCTAGGTGTAGATTTCCCAAACCTTAGAGGCTAAAGCAGCTTCTTGAGGCTGACAACTATTGTAGGCTATTGATCGGGAGGTGGTGGGTTGTTTGCTGGGACCTGCTGTCTGTCCAAGAAATGGGATGAGAGCAAGTTAACTCTGGTGCCCAGTGAAAGTTGGGACTTGTACCTTAGACTCCTATCATGGAAGGATTTGTGTTTTTTTTGTTTTTTTTTTTTTTTCTGTAGGTCCTTGGGGAAAAGGATTGCTGATTCTGGTGTGACCCTAGTCAGAGAGATCAGGATTAGATTTTGACATGGGACTTGGAGCCCATCTCAGTGTTGAAGATCTTTGAGATAGATTAACTGTTCAGCTGCTGAGCCTATGCTGGGAGCTGAGTAGCCCCTTTCCCACCTCACCAGTATCAGTGTCCTTGCTGCCTTTTGATCTGTTACAGATTTTTTTTGTAAGATTTCTTCTTTCATTGTCCACAAGTGCTGAGACTCTGAGGCCCCACTTCTGCTATGTATATATCCTGACTTGGGGCTTTAATTCAGCAAATTGTTCATTCTTCTGTCAGACAATGTCATATTCAATTCTGTTCATATTAAACCACTGTGAAGCAAGCCTCCGTTTTCCTCCTTAAGTTGTAAATTTTATTTCCTAGTGTTGAGCACTTGCTGGGTATTGTGCAGTAGTCATACAACATGGCCTTTGTCCTGGGGTGATGAGTACCTTTGCATTTATTTTACATTAGAGAAAAGCAGAATCCAGACTGCTTATGGTAGTTTACCTATGGTTTCTTGTAAATTGCATCTGACTTTGTCACATAGATGATGCATCTCCTAGGAAGTAGCCATATAATATCATCTCTGATTTAGGTCAGATTTAGCAGATTTGATTTTTTACATTTGTGGAATTTTGCTAATTTGAGCTGAATGTATTTATATTACTCATGTTTATATATGCATATGTAATGTGTACATAAACATATACATATAGATTCATCTTCTGATACACCCACATACCATCAACAGTTTCTTTCATTGCCTGTTATCTCATTTGATGATGCTACATTGTGTTGCTTTTCAAACAGATCTAATACAGATAAAAAAGTGGGTGTAATCCTGAGAACTTCTGATGGTTGTATGTTTTCACCTGACTAACATGGTCTTGTACATAGGGTGGATTCCAGGAAGGGTTAGAATGAGGGAGGCAGGAATCTTGTCATTTGGTAAATTTAAGATAGTTTTAGAGCTGGATGTGATAGCACTTGCTTATAATCCCAGGAAGATCAGGAGTTCAAGGCCAGCCTTCATTACATGGTTAATTTGAGGCCAACCTGGTCAATTTAGGACTTCATCCTCCTAGAAAACCTACTTTTGATTTAATTTAAAATGTAACAGTGGTATAGAAAATGATGTGTTCAAAAGATGAGGATATTACAGGGATATAAGAGTGATACTTGCTTTTAAATAGAAGAGTCAGCTGAATTAAAGAAGTTGAGATTTTTGATCATTAGAGAATGAGATGACTAAAAGATATCTGTGGGAGTAAGAAGAATAGATGTTTCTGTGAGATAAAGGAAAGGAGTGATTAAGAGAGACAGCCTTTGTTGGCAGCAGAATTACAGAATGAACTAGAGAATAACTAGAAAAAGCAGCTATAAAATAAAGTACTAACAATATTTTAGATAGTATTCAGTTAGATTAGGTGTAGGGTTAAAGTAGTCAAAGTACAAGTAAGATGAGTGAGTACATTGTATTCCTACACAGAAATTCAAGAGATTTCTGTCTTGTATAGACAAGACAAAAATGAGAGATAAAGAAAGGTTTAGGCATACCTAGTTAATTAGTCCTCCTTTCTCCTTAATCTTTTATTAGAGATGAGGTTTTACCTTGTAGCCTATGCTTGCCAGGAACTTGCCCAGGGTAGCCTCAAACTTGTAATCTTCATGTTCTTGCCTTCTAGGTGTTATCATTGTAGGGGTGATTTCCTTTTATTAATCTTAATATCCAACAAGTTTAGTTTCCTCTTTTTGGAGGAAAATGGCCATTTTAAACACAGTCAGTAGGTCCTGTAAGACCCAACCCAACCCAAATGGCTGTGGTGCCGCATGCCTGTAATCCCAGCACTTGGGGAGGCAGAGGCAGGCAGATCTCCATGAGTTCAAGGCCAGCTTGGTCTACAGAGCGAGTTCAGGACAGCCAAGGAATACACAGAGAAACACTGTTTTGAAAAACCAAAACAAACAACACACACACAAAAAAACAGACTCTTTTTTTTTAAATTGGCCATTGATCTTTGACAATTATGACCTAAGGAACATTATATCCATGTATTTCTATGTATTACCTAAAGTTGTACCACTATACAGCCAGCAAACTTGGATGCTGGACTCAATTATTATGCTTTTCAAGAGAACGCTTCTGTTGAACTCTCCTTAAAAAACAAACAAACAAACAAACAAAAAACAGACTCTTAAACCCAAGTTTTCTAACCCATTCATACTGAAACAAGGCATAGTTTTCTTTTTTTCTTTTTTATTTTTTGATAGCACCAGGCAGCATAGTTTTTTTTTTTTTTAACAAGGAATTCAAGTTTACATACATATTTGAGTGCTTGCTACTAATAAATCCCCCCCCCCCTTTTTTTAATAGCCTAAAAATATTCAACCTTATTTTGGGTTCTGAGAGACAGAGGCTAAGAACAAAATTTACACATAGCTAGACCTAAAAGAAGTCTACATCTTAACATTCCAAAGATGACTTACCTGCCCTTTGACCTATTGGAGATGAGTTGAGCTAGTAAATGTGGGAGAGGTGAACAACAACAGGCTTCACAGGAGTTTTGTATGATTTGTAGCCTAGGTGAGACACTTGTATGTTGAAATACTTGCTGTAATAATTTAAACAAAATCACCTGCTGTGGAAAATTGAGACCAGCTGCTCACTGAAATGGATATTACTTCATGTCCTTGAGAGCTGTTGAGTCACTCCTGGTATTCTCTTAGGCACAGTAACCATTCTAGTTTTCCCTTATTTGGTTTTTAACCCTTTTATCTTTATAGTTCTGTAATTTCTTCAAAGTCTTCACATGTGTCTAACTAAGCCAGGGGGTCTAAAACTGAGTATTACTTTAATTATATCCTAAAGGTTAGGTGCTTGTTATTCTGATTATATATCATAGTAATTAAGCATTTTTTTTTTTTTTGAGATGGGTCAGGTAGCTGAGGCTGGCCTTGAATTTGTTGTGTAGCTGAGTATGTATCTACTGATCTTCTGATTCCACTCTCAAATGCTGGCATTATAGGCTTGTGCTACCATGCCTGGCTTTGTTTTTTTAAGACTAGGTCTCAACTTGTACCTCAGGATGATCTAGATAGAACTTTGTAACTCATTATGTCAGCTAGCCTCAAATTCATGGGTGATTCCCTACCTCAGTCTTCTGAATGCTGGGATTGCAGGAGTAAGTCACCATGCCCTAATTCAAGGTTAATTTTAAAATATAAACTATTATTAATAATTTACTTGGTGGTTCTCTGTTTCTCCCTTTCTGACTGCCCACCACCCATCATTTTTTTTTGCCTTGCTTATACAATAAATTGTATTCTTAATTGTATTTTTAGAATTTATTTTTCTTTCTCCCTTATATTGATGTATATGTGTGTTTCTGTCTGTTTATGCTTTTTTTGGATACTCATTCTTATATAACACATACAAATAGACATAATTATCAATATCACAAAAGGATTCTTTAAACCCTTTGGGGGCTTTTAAAAATAGGTTAGTTCCTATGCTGGCTTTATTTATTTGTCTGTTCTTCACAGTCTAACTCTATAACCCTGGCTAGCCTCAAACTCCTTATGCAGCCCATGCTGGCCTTGAACTCTGAGAATCCTCTGGCTCAGCCTCTTGAGTGCTACCATTTACTGGTATATGCCAACATATCTGGCTCTTCTCTGAAGTCCTTTCAAATATTTGTATTTAGATGATAAATTTTTTTACCTGGAGAAACTGAAAGTTTAGATGGTTAACAGGAACTGTTAGCTAGAGATAAATTGTATAGATCAGGAGAAGAGGGCTGGAGGATGACTCAGTGGTAAAAAGCATTTCTTGCTCTTATACAAGACCCTAGTTTAATTCCCAGTACCCACATGGTGGTTTACAACCATCTGTAACCCTAGGTCCAGTGGATCCGATGCCCTTTTTTGACCTCCATGGGCACCAGGCAGACCTGTGGCACACATAATATGCAGGTAGAACATTCACAGAAAAGGAAATAGATCTTTGGGATGAAGAGATGGCTTAGTAGTAAGAGTACTGGCTGCTCTTCTAGAGGACCCTGGTTTAATTCCAGCACCCACATGGCAGCTCACAGACATGTATAACCCCAGTTCCAAGGGATCCTACATCATCTCTGGCTTTCACTGTCACTGCATTCACATGGTACAGTACACTCACAAAGGCACACAGGAATAAATTATATATATTTTTTAAATTAAGAGAAAACTATAGCTCTTAACAAAAAAAATAGATTGATAGAAATTTTATTCATGTGATTCTTTTTTTTCTTTGGGACAGGGTTTCTCTGTGTAACAGCCTGGCTGTCCTGGAACTTGAGACCAGGCTGGCCTCGAACTCACAGCGATCCTCCTGCCTCTGCCTCCTGAGTGCTGGGATTACAGGAATGCGACACCACTGCCTGGCCTCATTTTGTTTTTTTTTTTTTTTTTAAAGAAAATGTTATGTCATTCAGGCATGGTGGTGCACACCTGTGATTCCAGCACTCTGGGAGGCAGAGGCAGGAGGATCTCTGTGAGTTCGAAGCCAGCCTGTCCTACATAGTGAGTCCAGAACAGCCAAGGCTACACAAACCCTGTCTCAAAAAAACAAAACAAAACAAAAACCCAACATGTTATATCAGTAATACTTTTTGTCTAGTTTCAGTAAGCTCTTAAAGATTTTTGCAACACATTTTAATTTGTTATGTATTTTTATTCTAAAATATTAGTTTTTGTTAAGAGTCAGTTTTTCAATGGCTGTGGTAATGAAGACATACACATTTTTTTGAGACAGGATATCATTGTGTAGTACTGGCTGGTCTGGAACTCCCTATGTGGGAGCTAACCTCAAACTTCCAGAAATCTCTCCCTGTCAGTTTAGTGCTAGGACTAAAGGGGTATATAACTGAATCCAGACATATTATTTTTCTTTGTGTTTTTGTTTTAACATTTAAATATGGGGATATCTAGTATTCATGAGATAAGAATATTTCATACTAAGTGATCAGACTGAATGAAGAGACAGGAAAATCTGAAAGAAAGTAGGAGAATACCAGGGCTTGAATAGAAACCTGAGTTCTGAATTTGCGTGTGGCTGGCTAGAGTAGCTTAGGTGAATTGTTTCATGACTTCAGGTTTTTTTTTTCCTCAACTGGAAAATGAAGAGATTTGATTGAATGGTTACAGGTAACTAAGTTTATATAGTTGCCCTAAATTTACCCTAAATCTAGATGAAAAATTTTGGTAGTAACAACTTACATGGAGTTATATATGTGTCTTTTGAAATAGTCTTGCTATTGAGACCATGACAGCCTTGAAGTTTTCAGTCATTCTCCTTTACATGGCTG